TAACTCATGTCGTAAACTCGTCTGGTATGTTATTGGTTGACTGGGGATTGGTCACTCAACGAGGGGCGCGCTTTGGTGCGTTGGCACCAGGTGGATGATATTTGATTGCCTTAAGGTCGATTCTGGATGGTGTATGGACAGAAATTATTTCATGTTTGAGTTTGAAAGCGTTATGTATTCAATTAACTGAGAATAGGTGTAGTCAGTTGCGAACCGTAGAGGCTATGTATTTACCGCATCAGACACAAACGTCTGCCTACGCGACTCTGATGGTTGGGTTGGTGAGTTTGTCTTTGTGTGAACATAACGATCTCAAGAAATTGCTTGCCCTACTGCATGGCAAAGCTATGGCTGTTTTCGGATGTATTTCAACAACGTATATGGGTGCATAATGAGTGCCATGTAGACGCACACCTTTTCTTTGTACATCGTTTGTCACTGGCGGACTGGCCAAACTAAACATCACCGCAGATCCCAGTTCGTTCGTGGTTCAGCTGAAGCACAAATTGGTTGAAAACTGTTTTTGTCTGGGCCTGCGCAGTTAGGTTAGCTACAAACTTTGCGCTTCTTATGGCGAGATCAATAGAGTTGTACACTGTCTTCTATGGTAACCAAAATATAAATTTAGCGTGACCTACCCCGTTATAGTGTTCATTCGGGATGCAGTGCCCAGAAATTCATTCGTAGCAACTTCTGTTTGTTCAGGTTATGACCGAGTTTTATTATGAACTGAAACTCGGTCGGTCCCATCATCGGAACCATGACCGAACCAGAGTCATCCAAGTGTTTCCCGTTCATAAGAACCAGAGCATCCGATATATTGGAATACGATGAGGACCAATCGGGAAGTTATAATCTTGGAAGAGCTTGCGAGCAACCGTTTAATGTATTTATGGGTGCTGTTATGTTTTTGGTATTAAAGCATTTTTAGACAAGCGAACTAGTCTAAACTTTGGGTAACATTTTATGGCACAGCTGGATAAGATATTGAACAAAAATGATGACGGTCAGAGGACAGGTGCAAACGTGTATCGAGCTGTCATATTAAGTGATCTTTAGAGTGGAAATTTGTAAAATGTCAGATGGTACATTACGTTGATACCTAAGGTCTTGCTAGTGGAGTTAATGTAGACAGCTCATCACAGTTCCAAAATCATCGGTGACGCACTTCGAACTGGCCACATTAAGGTCGGACGTTAAACATTCGACAGCTATACGCCATCTATCCTGTCCATATAACTGCTGGCATTGGCGGTTACTCCTGTGCAGCAAGTAGCTTTCTTCGGAGTGAACGGAACCTGGGTCCTGGTAAAGTCGACATTTTCACAGTCGATTTCAGGACCAAGTCTGATGCGTGCACCGCTATAGCCAGAAATCTCAGCAAAATACTTCACACGACCTCGTTGCTCAGTGGCCTTGACGTGTCGCCAACGTTCTGAATGTCTCCTGTACAGTTCACTCACAATATGGCCATGCACGTTCGTGCGCTATCTTTACACGGGGGATCCTGTTATTTCATTTATTTATTCTGTTTACAGGAAGGGAGACCTTTAAGTGCACCAAAGATAAGGATAGCTTTGGGCCTTTCCGGAAAACAACCCACCGAATCGTCTTGGAATTTCCTTTACATAAGGAATTTAAAACATCCAGGATTTTGGTTACACTTATATTAAGGCCATCCTGTAAGAGATGCTTCGATAATTGTCTCGGACATGCACCAGCTACTATTTCTACGAAGCAGATGATGTAAAAGCAATAGAACACCTACTCGGATTCTGAACAAAATTACAGTAAATATCACCTTGACAGGGTCTACCACACAGTTTGAGGCTCCTCAAATGCGTAAGTTATGAGTGTAGTGGTTCAACTGTGAACCCAAGGACCCGATGGGATGTACCGTAAAATTGGGGACCTGACCGTTTGCTGCTGGAACATGTCTCAAGGAGTTGCAAAGCAGTTGGTAGGAGACCTCAGTGGATATACTAGTCACTTGTACCTGGTACTGATCAGCAGCTACCAGGTACCAAAAAACCAGAGCGCAGTTAATGTAGTACATTCACTTATTCAATTGTGCACTGAAGGTAGAAACATTCATTAGCAACTATGGGGTTGCATAATGAGATCATTATTGATAGGACATAGCGGTTCATAAATTGGAAAAGGATTCATGCTAACATTATATTTACACGTAGATTCGTACGTAATAGTTATCGAAAGTATAGATGTACCAGTGGAAGGAGCAACACAGGCTTCAGCGAAGGTCTCCATAACCGTTGTAAACGGCATTTCACAAATTGCTGGCACATCAACAATCGAAAGGAGGAAACTGGTCGTATGGGAAGTAGAAGTATTCCGTCAGGTGGTCCTATGAGCTACTGAATTGTATGCCGATAGAAAAAGTACTGAAATAACCATAATTGCTGGTATTTGAAGGTTTTGTTATATACTGAGTGATGCATTGCAAACGCTAGGTGAACTGCGATAAAGCAGGCAGGTTAAGAGCGGTGGACATTTAATGAACTCGCGAATGGGAGCAAATGGTAAGACTGTCATTTGTGAAGTTAGTTAAAGTTGGAAATATAATACACGCACTGTACTATGAAGGCACTTTATGATGTCCTATTAGAGATTTGATAAGTGGAACACTCTCGTGGTGTAAGCAGTCATTTTCGCTTAAATCTACCTTATGGGCATAGAAAGCTTCACATGTGCACCAGAAGACCTGATACCTGCATTTGCATAAATGTACCCACCGGCAAGTACCAGACTTAAAGCGGAGTGATGGATGAAACTGTATTGGAGGGATACATGAATCGTATCAGACAAAACATATAGCATTACCTTCATTGTCAGCACAGCAGAGCAGATTTTCTCTCCCTCTACTCCCAGCTACTGCATTAACGGAGTGGTTCATCCAGAAGGTCAGAGTGAACGGCACGTTGTCAAGTCGATGTTGGTCCAGAGGTAGCAGGGTGCTGGGAACTGTCCATTGATGAGATCCATTGAAGTCATGAATTGAAGCACGAAAATCCTTGCTTTCGGAGTTAGGTGAAAAAGAAGCCAAGTCTTGTGGAAGCAATTCAACCATGCTGTCTTCAGAGACACCTATAGGCGCAGATAAAAAAGACCGATCAATCTAGTCCCAAGTTTGACAGTAAGCAATCACAAACTATATACAAACAAGTTAAAACAATGCAGTTATTTTTAGTCACAAAAGCAGAGGAGTACATCTGTGCATACGAATAGCGGAGATATTAAGGTCCTTAAAGGTACCGCAAAGGCAATGCTCAAAACCTCTATCGTTTCTCTGAGCGTACCTCATACTAACCAGTTGGGAGATCCCATAACCGTTCCATTCACCATTAATAGAGCTGTTACGCAGGGGTAACCGAAACACACTTTACTGCTTAGGTACAAATTATACATTAATAGACCTTGTCAATGCGATCGCGCTTAGACCGGAACCGCATTGCTTTACCATACTAGTGCCACTTAAGTACATGGTTGAACCAATTTGCTGTGCGGCTATCCGCTCAATTGTTAAACGTGGTTTCGCGGCTTTAGTGACGCTGTATCACAAGTGGGATAGGCAATGAGTTGCGACTTTCTCCGTGATGCTGGACACTGAGTGTCTGGCTTGCAGGTCGTTACAAAAAAGTTTAAGTTCACCACTTACTGAATGACATGTACCCTGCAACCGAGAATCTCTAAGACTAACATGTCACCTAATATACTTCTTGCAATGCCCCGATAGACAGATTGGTTTCCTTGTTAAAGTACTGCATTTAAGCAAATTTTTATTGTTATATAGATCGCGATGCATGAAGTGTAACTTTAACCCAAGATGTAATAACTGGATTCATTACGCTGAAGCGTATAATGAGAAGTTTCTTACGATTATTATCTTTCACACTTACATAAAAGTGCTAACTTTAAGTGAATTAGAAAACATAGAATGAACGCCAGTGGGTGAACCTACCCAGCCGTTGTTCGTGAGGCATTTTACCTGATTATACGCTGCCAGCTGGGCTGTTGATATCCAAGGGTTCTCAGGACACCACTGATAACAAGGATAAAGATTTTCGAAGTACAACAGTGTCTTTCTACTGCTATATGGAAGTAACAACACATTAACTGCTTTAAATCCGAAGTTTGTATTAATGATCATGGGCTTGAGAATGCGCCGCAGTCGACACCCAAACATATCCGAAAGACCATGGCCTGTCAACGATTCGGTGTGTACGGTGTGCTTCGAAATGGAGCTCAGCCTTATTTGGCGGTCGCGTGACTTGGTGTGGAAGCGGACTGCGGCCCTACGCTTGTAGGACAAGACTGTCACCCGTGGACGTTTAGTGGCTATCAAAGATATTTCTTCCCAACCAGTGAGCGTACGCAAGCACAGCTCATATATGGGGAAGTTGGCTGATCTGTGATAGAAACAAGTAGTGCCCAAATCAAATAACGATAGCTGTGTCAGATGTAGCGAGCGACTAAGGTGGCTGAGCTGTTGGCTGCACTCACATTGAAGCACTCACAAGCAGACACTATCAAAAATGATCACATGTTGGATAAACACCCGTGCACCACATGAAACTTACCACAGCTGTGACGTTGAGCACGTAATGAGGGTAAGTCCAAATCGCAAATCGAGGATGGCTTTCCATTTGCAAGTTGGGAGATATGATTCTCAGTCCACAGCAGTTTGACACGCGATACCACTTCTGATACATTACAGGTATCTTGGTGATCAGGTCCACAGGATACAAGTTTGGCGGAGTTAGATATGGATCGTGGATGAGATAGATAGGGGTACACGATCTGGTCATCCATGTCTGCTTGGAGGTGATAATGGAAAGGTTAATATAAATGAACCAAAAAACCAGATAAACACGCAGCATGAACACAAGCAAACAAGCAGCTTAATTTAATACCTTCAACGACGGTAAGGTTTGAATATCTCCACCTTCGAAATGAGGAAAAATCGTCTTTTTGATTAGTCGCCACATCGTTATGACCTATTGCAACAAGATACACCGGGATTCGTAACTCTGAAGTCAGTAATTAGCCGGTAGCTTTCTCCTTGTCAATTAATGCTGTGAATTCCCTTCATGTCTGGTTAATCGATGATTGATGAAGTCACTGATTAAGGTGCCTTTCAGTTAGATAGGAATGCACTACTACCAAATAATGCGCCAAACTTAACGATGACATGTTGCGACTGACTGTAACACATCCAATGATGTGAAGTATAACCAACATCGCAGACATCAACATTTCGATAGACCTAAGAGCAGCTACGTTTTAAGAAACAATAATACGGCAAAATGCAATGAGTGAATCGAGTTCTTTTTGACGTTCATTCGCAACGAAGAGTAACGATGCGGGCCAGCAAAAAGGCCTCCTCGATCTCCGATTGGGACTGCAGGTATATGCACAAACCTCGTTTTGACTTCGTCCCTTAAAAAACACAGCAAAGAGCACTCTATTTTTCTATGTATCTTGTTAGGTAAGCTTTGTTGGTGGTCTAGGGGCAAATCATGTACAACCGAGTCAAGGTTGCATGTGGCATAAACATCTGTGCATGTAAGAAAGCGGCAGCTGCAAGTAAGTTAAAGGATAAATGTGATAGTGCAAGACTGCAGTCACATGAATGAGTATGTTCAAGAAAGTAACAGCGTAGTGGTGATGTAGATACAGGAAATAGGTGCTTCCCCGTAATTCTCATAAACGCGGTTAATATCAAGTTTGACAGCACAATAAAAGCATGAAGTTTCCAAAGAACAGTATTATAAAATTGTGTAAACGTGAGAAGCGTGAAATGTAGGACTCGGTCTAGGACATAGACCTACTGGCGCGTTCCAGCAAGGACAGAAATTGTAATACCCTATAACAAACAGTATGCAATTAGAATGAAGTTCACAGTACTAGTTGTACATTGAGGCTGCTATGTCATCAGGCAGACTAACGTATGGACCGGGTGTTAGCAAACGGTGATGCAGGTTGAATCTTGCACCTTATGAAGATGGGTTATCCACGGACAGCCGGTCATTTTTATTGACAACTTAGACTAGAGGTCCTAGGAGTTTTCAGTGGACAGCATAAGTGTCTGCAAACTATGAATTTTGACACCATATATGACCTTGGTGAAGTCCAACTACGTTTGCTTTCATCTGCTGACACAAAGTTAGACTGTGAGGTCAGAAATTAAGGTTTAACACACAGTATGGACATTCGGGTTGCCCCCATATCTTCTCAATTGTAGTGTCCCAAGCAGGGGATACTCTTTCAGGCTTCGTAATTTCCGTTTCCAAGTTATCCCTACTCAAAAACGAATTGAGGCCACGCCGCTCCATCAAAATTAGAAGTAGTATAAAATTAGGTGAGTTAATAAAACTAATTACACTATTGCCAACGTCTGTCTAACGGAGAATGCTAAGGCGTGCACAGTTGCACTTCTATTGTTTGGTATTTTAGCTAAAATTTGTTAAGCATTTGCTCTTATAAAGTACTATGCTTCTGAATCATTATCCGCCAGATATTGAAAACAAGTTATTGTCGAAGGGCATCAACAATTATGGTCTGTAAAGCATTCTGAATTGTTAGTTCTTTGCGATTGGTAGCTACACTTTTGTAAGCTATGGCGACATGCAGTAGTGGTGGCGCAAACTGCCGAACAAACTTAGAGAAGACAGTGATGTATCATCTAAACGGGTGGAAGGATTTAACAGAACCGGTCAGGGAAGGTGGTGTTAGTTCCCAATTCAGTATGGGGCCCGTGAAACCAGTCACTCGCCTGCTCCATGCCGTAGAAGAACACTGAAGAGATTGTCATACGCCGCGTTGCTGGTGTCACCAATACCCAGGTACTGAAATGATGACTACTACACATGCTTCCGTTAATCACGAAAGGTGCATTTGCTTCACCAAAGACGTCACGGCAGTTTACAGTCTGCAGTGATATTAACTTCGGAGTTCACTATCAACCATTTGTTCACCTGTTACCTTGTGCAATACATGGAAAATAATGTAATATTATGTTGGATTCCGAAAAACCTTTCAGGTTCAACAAAGATTATGTATGTGTACAGCGGGCTAATCTCAAGACCGAAAGCAGGTATGCTGCCATGCACAACATTTCAGAGCGGATCAAATTACTGCATAATATGTGGAACATATGTGGAATATACTTTCGGATATAGTACAACTGCATTCATCAATTACCTCAGTCCAAGAGTGAGGCGCACGAGTAAGCGTTGTCGTTTCTTTTTTTCTTATGACATACCTTCCCCATATTACTTCCCATAATACTCTACAGTAACAATTCAGTACACATTCTAAATTGTTTATATGAATAAGGGGCACCTGAATCGCTAGACGCTTAAATTGACGATTTACACTTATGTTTGCTTTCACTTCAACCATCCTACGGGACTTGTAAAGCAATCGCTTTTTTACCTTTAATCTATCATTGTTCAATTAAGAATCAGCCTCTTAAAAGCGTCGGCAATCTCAATCCCGAATGTCGTAGGGTTGTTTAGTAGGACTAATACGTAAAACGATCGAAAGCATTGCTATCAGCTTCTAAGGAGACACCCTAAGTCGCAATGACCAAACTGTAATTTGATGATCCTATACAGTAAGGTACACAATAAAGCGGACACCGGTTTGCCTACAATAGGGCTGTAGTATAAATCCACCCGTGGACATAGCACCAAATATTACGCCACTGTTCGTCCAACACTCTAGACAAGTATGAGCTTCAGTTGATTCCTAATCGACCAAAGAGGTTTCATTGAATGGGCTACTGCCCAGGGTCAGTAATAAGCATGAGCGCAACCCTAAGCATGTTCTCAACTGGAAACTCGCCTGACGTACAATTCCAAGAGGGACCAAACGATATCTGTCGACTGAGAGCATAACCTACGGAGACAATTCAAGCGTATTTGGCTGTTGGTAAGGAGCCCTTGAAGTGGACTACAGTTCTCGAATAAACCCAATAAATAAGAATTTCATCCGGAAAATAAGACAAATGCAGATAACTTACTTAATCCATCGATACGCCACCTACCGAGTGCTAGGATGAGAGCGGGAGTCAAGCAGCGACTTACCCATGTCATCCCGTATCCTTAATGCCCTAGCACTTTAGAATTTAATAATCTAATGAATCACCATGAGTCTCCTATCACGAAGGAGCGTCAGTAATGAAAATTATAGGCGGCGCTATTACAATTTCCACTTTAGGTTCCTACATCGCAGTCATGTATCAAACTATTGTCTAGTGATCCCCAAGCTGTGACGGCAGCATGCGTGGACACAAAAGAGCCCAATTGTGCATTGCTCATAAACGGGTTATACCTGAATAAGATTAGCTGACCAATCACGGTCAGCTGTCCGCTCACTTGAGGTAGGTACCTAGTATATTTCTACGGTTATGAATATTAATATTGTTATGTTTATCATGGTTGCTAAATCAATCATTTAATTTTTCATTCGCTCTCTAGATTGAGCCGCTACCACGAACCGAAGCCTCCATCTCTGTTGAGGATGAAACATCGTCATCTAAATTGGTAAATTGGGAGGACGCACGGGTACTTAATAAGCAATTAAGTCAGAAAATCAGGTTTACACTTGGATATACTGTGGACCACCCAATTAAAACGAAAGAGATCTGGAGAAGTCGATTCATCCTGGCTAAATATCCCACGCTGTTGTCACAGGACAAATATGAGTTTCTAGAGATATGATCTACTGTGTACAGTTGTCGTCACCGTTTACAAGCCTTTTCCTGCCATTGACGGTTGTTATAATTTGTGGGGATTGTGACATTCAAACTTCCCAATACTTGATATAAATAATTATTAGTGCAGGTGGTGTTTTCGCCAAAAGCGGTCGTATTGTAAGCTGCATATATATATATATATATATATATATATATATATATATGTAAAAATGACAAGCAAATTACAATTGTTTAGGTAAGTCCCTAAAAAAATCTCCAAAATTGATTGAGACTGGGCGGGTTAAAACACGGCACCCACACTTCTGTTAATGAACATGACAGTAGAGATGATGCAGATTGACCAGGGCCAAAACATCCCTATCGGTCAAGAGTCGTTTGGTATGCTTCGACTTTGCGATTGTGTAGGATCAATGATAAAAGGGAAACGAGCGTTAAAGTTGGTAGAATATAGTGGTAAAGTTAGGTGCTAATAGATGGTGGGATACGTAAATTGCTGCAAACATTTAGCCACGCAGTATCGGAACGGAATTCCTATCAAACGGTTAACTATCCTGAGTTCAACCTTGAAACAATGGGCATTTGGGAGCAGAGCAAGTTTGCCCCACGGAGCAATATTTATGAGTAGAACACTACTGCACAATGAGGCAGCAGGTAACCATGGTGACGGTGATGCTTACGTCCTGACTGGATAGCAAAATGTCCGATATGTATTCCGGATCAATAACAGCAATGCGTAAATGTTAATATGTACATTTCAGTGGTTCAAGTCGGGGAAAGCTCGTTAGTTCAGTTGCCGGGGGCGGTTGAAGTTGCTGCACACTCTGCCTTCGGTTCGGAGTCAGTACGGGAAGAGCGCACACTTGGTACCCTCATATTCAGTGTAATGGACGGGACCGGCCTTAGTCACAACCTAAAGTCAACACTGTTTGGTGTGCTTTGGCATGGGATACAGCAAAAGTTCATAACTGTGAACGGAAACTGTGTTTCCATTGTTACAAATAAATGGAGCAACTACCACTCTCAGAACCCCATTTCCCGCGTGTATAGAGTACAAATCTGTTTTATATAGTTTTGTGCTTTCGCTACGCTTCG